ACGCGGACCCAAAAAAAAAAAAAAACAAAAGAAGTCGTCAAAAAAATCTGAAAAAAAGATATGTTATGGAGAAAAATAAATTAAACAAGATTTTCCTGAGCATTACTTCTGAATTCCTTACCAAATTTGAAATAAAAATAAAATACACAGAACAAATACTAATAATAAAAATAAATAAAAATAAAAAGAGAATTAAATTTAGTGAGTACGTGAGCATGTTTTCGACACCGCCATCTTTGGCGATTTTTCATTTTTCTTTGGTACAGCTAAATGCCCTGAAAATTTAAACATGTGTACTTCACATAATAGAAAACCCACTAAAAAAGTTTTAAAAAATAATAAAATTGTTTAGACCCCAAACTAAAGTGAAAACAAAAAGTAAAAAGTGGAAAAAAGTGTGGGCGAGCATGTTTTGACACTGCCATCTTTGGGGATTTTTAATTCTTATTTGGCTAAGAGAAATGACTTGAAAATTTTTAGGCATGTACCTCACGTCATAGGAAAGTCGTACAAAAAAATTTAGGAAAAACAATATATTCTTAGGACTCGAAATAATTTTTGGCGGGGGCCGAACGCCGTCGGGTTCGGGACCCATACGGGACCCCGAACGCCCGAACGTACGGAGGTCCACCCGGGGGCCTCCGTACGTACGGGCTGGTAACCCTGTATATATATATATATGTATATAATATATATATATATAATATATATATATATTATATATTTATATCACTTGGTTGTCTGAAGATTTTTTCCGGCGCTCACACACAGGCTTTCTCAAACACGCCCACACATGCATAGGAACAGGGGGAGACGGTTTTGTTTTTTAAACCACCTAACCACCCAGACAATCAAAAACACGCCCACACATGCATAACAAGAGGGGGAGAGGTGACAGAGTCAAAACTGCACACAGACAAGGATAAGCAGCGTAATTCAACCATGCACACATGGGGGAGGTCACACAATGACTCTCATTCTCCGACAGACTCCCAACAAACAATCACAATAAAGAACCTCAGCAAATTCAAAATTGATATGATGCTGATGATGAGCCAACTCAAACGAATATCATTACAGTGTTTGTTACAGTCCGTTCGTCCCCAATCGATTTCCCTCATTCTACTAATACAGTAGAGTACTCTAACCTACACGTAGACCGGACTGACTAACCGACCAATACTGTTGCAGTTTCGCCCTCTCAGCCTCTACCGGACCCGGCTATAGGCTATAGGACCGTCCATCAGCTCAGGCCATTAGGGCCTGTCTGTCCTGGGGGTAGTCCGGGCCTGCTATTCGCAGTAAGTGTACGTATACGAAATTCGAAATACTGTTGGGCCTATATTTCCCATATTTACAGATGTGGCCCTCACGAATTTTCCTCACAGGTTGGTCTCACGGTTACGCCCGAGTCGAACGAAATTACAAATCTAACCCTACGGAGTAGTATACAGACTCGTCATCAGTCTTCGCAGTCAGACGGAGCAAATATATATATATGTATATATATACAATCAACACGACAAACTAAAAACCCAACAGACAAAAAAGACGCATGTACAAGATACTACGACATAATATAATGTCAGTCGTCGAACAACTCGACATCATCTGCGTCCGATGGAGAATCGCATGATCGATCGGACACGGCATCCGCCGGTACAGGCAACCCATCCCCGTCGCCAATAATGAAAACATCGTCATCCCCCACAACGTCGGGATCCGCACCTGAAGCAACGTCCTCCTCGTCACGGGCAATGGTATCCTCGCCTCTGCAAAAAAGATCGCGAGGCAGAGGAGGTGTCGATGACCCGACCTCGCCCGACACATCACAGTCGTCGTACTCGAGAAGGCGTCGAGCCCAATCTGAAACGCATTTTGAACCGAAGATGAACGTGGACAGTCGATCCATCCACGAATCGGCAGGTGGCCGATTGTGACGGTAGTGGCTCGGCCTTGGACGAATCGAAGTCGCAGAAGGCCTGCGGACACGATACTCCAAGGGATCCTGCATGCATGACTGTTCCATCGAATGACTGCAATCGCCAAACGCGGTTCATACGACTTCTCGAAGTGCAAGGCCTTCTTCGCGTAAATGATGATTGTGTCCTGGAAGGTCTCAACCGTCGATGTGTGACGGAACTCCGTATAGTACGAACAAACGGTCGTGCTGCAATGTCTGCCCAACGTCTGGCGAATGATGTCATACACGGGGTCGTCGTGCGTGTACAGAGGCAGTTGAGATGGGCCACCCGCCTTTGAGCATAGAAACTCTCTGTCCGCAACGCACCTGGAGTGGTCCCCGGCCCAATGGTCGGCGATCATCATGACATCATTGTGCAGAGTGACAAAGTCGCCGCCCTCATCTCTGCAAAGCTGGGAAGCACGAAGAAACCAATGCACCACCTCATGCATATGGAACTCAGTCACACCATCTGCATCCACGACCAAGGATTTTTTGTTTTTCATCGTGCCATACGGGTACATTTTGCTCATCACAACAGCGATGAAGTCACTCTTCTTCAATCGTTCTTCTTTTGCCGTCAAACACCCTGGTCCAAAACGGTCCATCAAGGCATCCAACAACTCCTTCGTGAACTGCATAAACTAAGATTCTAACACGCAATGATGAGGGTTGTTCAATTTCTTTGGCACCTTCAGTGTCATGACTTTTCTAAGTGCCTTGCGAATGTTTTTTACCTTATGATGACCATCCTTCTGCCATTCAATACCCAGGCGCTCCAACTGTGGACCCAATGCAGCACAATCGTCGGAGACAATACACCGGATCTTCAACCCCCTCGACAACAAGCCTCTCAACAGGCGCACAACAGCAGGAACCTCAAGTTGGTCCGACGCCTTTCCCTCCTTTTTTGGCCGAAGAGTGTGAACACCCACCACAAGACGAGTATCACACTCAATCGCGGTAACAGTGCAATGCTGTGCAGACCTGGTCGAGTCGTAGCGACCGTCAACCATCAAAGTGACGGGTCTCCCTGATCGCATAACCGTGTCAATGCCCAAGTCGCAATACCGCACGCCCTGCCTTACAACCTTTGCATTCCAACCCTCACGCACATTCGGCTCACCGCGCATGCAACTGTAAAAAATGGGCTTGTGCACAGGTGCCACCCCAAGAGCGATGCAGAAGTCGTTGAGGACGGTATATGTCATACCCGCAGTAATGGTCGCATAGAACAACTGCTGCTGAAGTCTGCACGAGTACACAGCTCCCACAACCAGTGCACTGTGCCATGTCCAACGACAGGACTTTTTACAAGCGAGCGAAATGCGACAAATATGCCCAGGATAACCAACAGAGGACACATCCACAGCACAACCGGCCCCGTGAGCGGGCAACTCAAATCGAACAACCCAAGCAACTGCAGCAGCTTCACCAACTCTACGAAGACGACATCAGCCGCTTTCGAGCCTTCCTAGTGCCCCATCGATTCGAACACATGTGCAAACCGATTATTGCTCGGTCCGCTTTGCAAAGCACCATCCTTCGAATCATCCTAGCACAAAGGACGTACATATTCGAAACGCGAACGAGACCTGCCACGGCTTGGTGGCCGCCCGCGCGATCTGCGGCCACGATGTGACCCGTGCCCTGAACGCAGTAGCGAATCATCCGACCCACAAAATGACCCGCCATTGCCTCCACCGCTCCCTTTACCCTCACGCTCGCCATCATCCTCAGCGTCCGCTGTCGAATCATCCCCTCCTGCCCTGAGACGAAACACATTTGCACGACTGTCGGCCGGTAGTGTTCTTTCGATCCTCGACGCCACACCGTCCCCGAACTCTGACCGGATGGCTGGCAATGACCAATGCAACAGTCGGTCGAGGACATCGCTCATGACCACAGACTTGTCGCTCACTTCTTTCATCGCAGATTGTAAAACTCATAGTCTCTCCTTGCAAGCGGTAGTCAGGAACAAACGAGAGTACTTCGCGAAACCAGTTGACTGCGAACCGAATTGCCCCAAGGACCCGCCCGAGTGTTCAAAAGGACCCGCACCAAGATTTTGAGCGCCAGGATCGCAACGACCGGGCCCATCTCCGCTACCACACACAATGTCATCCTCGTCGAACCGGGAGACGAGAGAGCGACGGGCGGAATTACGGTCATGTGTGTCCCCGGCAGAGACGTGCATCATCCAATACACCCCCCTGCCCATGACCTGATGCGGCGAACGAATGTGAGACCCGTGGTTCTACACTCCAATGTCCTCCGTCACGCAGTGTGGACCCTTCACTTCCGAACACCGCTGCTGATGATTGAGAACACCCCTCTAGGGGGATGGAGTCTAAACCGTCGCGTCCAACGAAAAGTGGAGGAGGAGGAAATGGCTGCGCAGCACACGACAGAAACTGCAAACGGCGAGGTTGCAATGGCGGCAACAACATAGGAAAACACAACGCATCGAAATCCGACAAAGGGTGTACCGGAGTATATGGACGGCGCGCTGGAGACGACAACAAGGGCGGCAACGGAGAATGCACAACTGCAACACCGGGAGTGACGACGACCGTAGGCGAAAGAGAGTGAACACAAGGCCTCTTTGTTGATCGCATGTCATCCGGGCTGCCATAAGGGGACACGCCCAGCAAACTGCGTTGTCCGGCATGCGGTGACACCGGAGTGGCGTTGCCACGCGCGGGCCAAGTGGGTGGCCGTTCTGCTGACCTGCCATCATCAGGCGTGCAACTGGCAGGAGCGTCATCCATGACAGATGGACGGCCCTCTCCCGCGCCACGCGTGTGGTGCGTGCTGGACGGTGCAATGCCGGCAACACAATCTCGAAACAGATGAACTGCCAAATCGCACAAGAACAACGTCCGGTCCTGTAATCAGCAAACAGTCATCGGCTGACACACTCAGTGACTTGCATTGTCACTGATGCACTGCAAAAGAGACTGATTTAGAGACAGACTCACGAACTTCTTGACAGATTGAACTTCGGCCAGACCGCCTGACACACATCCAATGCAGCGACTGACTGACCAACTTGATGATATGTCAGAAACCCCGCACGACAAACCGGAGTCATTGGATTGATCGAATGATCAATTGAATGATTGACTTTTTATATATATATATATATATATATATATATATATATATATCGTCACAAATAGAACTGCCCGGTAAATCGTAGGCAGAGAGAGAGAAGAGGACAACAAACGAGGGGCTGTGACAAACTGTTTCGTCGGAGTTTCACCGACT